GAGAGAGAGAGAGAGAGAGAGAGAGAGAGAGAGAGAGAGAGAATGAATCGCGAAAGAATGAACGTAGCCACTTGCATTCTTTAAACTGGGAGAGAAATTGTCCCTTAACTCTGTACAGAAGAGGTTTGTGGGGTATGTGCGAGAGGAGAGCACTTCCCAAGATTCTGGATCTAGGGCTAATTGAGTTGGATATGTAGGGTGTGAACTTAAGAGCCCAAGATCAAAGTGGGCCTCACTCCTTCTCACACTTTCTAGTTGTCTGGGGTTGAAGCCCCCTCCTTTATCATAAATTTCACAGATACCCATTTATGGATTCCTGGTTCTTGGCAAAGCATGGAAATGCCATAAGGTGGGAAGTGGGGGTCGCTGAAGGCATTGATGGAGGGAGAAAGGAGAATTGTTGAGGGAATCTTACCTAGGCACCTGCCTTCTAAGAACGGAACAGTAAAGAAATAAGTAGCTGAGGAGCAAATCAGCAAGTACTTTCAGGTTTACTGTGACGTGGGGGTGGGGGCCTGGGAGAGGCTAACAGGGTTCTGTGGTCACAGCTTGGAGTTCTAGCAGGACAAAAGAGTCTGTCATTTTTCAGGATACCTGGGTCCCTATGGGCCGGAGACCTTGAACTTGGAGTAGCTTTTTGTCCACATGAACCATGCACGTTAATTAGCACATGAAGAAAATGGGCTGTTGTTATTGAGGTCACTGGGTGGGCAGCCTACGCCTGAGTGAAAATCTTTCCTGCTTACTTCATTTATTCCCTGAGTTTCCCTCCTCACGCCTTGCCCACTGTTTTACTTCTGGTATATTTCATGGTGTTTCCAATTTCTGTTCAAGCACCTTTCTTTCAAGGCCATCTCTTAGCCTGGAGAAGCCACTCTCCTCCCACACCAACTCCTACACCCCACCCCACCCCCCGCAACCAGAGCTCTTATATTCTTGGGAAGAAGGGTTGGGCACATTCTCGATTTGTATCTGGTTTGTCTGCTTTGACCTGTCTCTTAGCTCTTGGTGTCTTTGGAGCATAAGGGTGTAAGCTATTTGAGGATCCAAACCTAAACTCGTTGCTTTTGATTCTGCCTCCAACACAAACCAAACCTACTGCCCTCCAGTCAATTCGGACTCCTAGCTACCTTATGGGACAAAATAGAACTGCTCCATAGGCTTTAGACGGCCATATCTTTCTCCAAAAAAAGAGCAGCTGGAGATTCGAAAGGCCAATCTTTCCATTCACAGTCAAATGCTTTGTCACAAAGGCTACTGAAATTAGAGGGTTAGGGCTGTACTTTACATTTGCTTGATTCCCCACCCCCACCCCCACCTCAGGCTTTCAGTTTGTGCTTTGCTTTTGCTTGATTCCCCACCCTCACCCCTAGCTTTCAGTTACAGGGTCTGCACTGAGTAAAGTTGTTTGTTTTGTTTGTTGTTGTTGTTTTTTTCATTTTATCTAATGCTTAATTGTGTGCTCCCATGAAGAGATTTTACAACTCTAAGTCCTGAAAAACGTTCCCAAAGGCTCTAATGTGGTTTGCTCAGTTTCAGCGACATGCAGGAGGAATCCAAAGGGTCTGGTAGAAGCCGTGATGGACAGTGTTTTCCATATACATATGAGCCAGTGGTGAGGGAGAAGCCCTCAAAACAGGTCAGGTACTTGGTTTCTAAATGAAAGATTGGCACTTTGAAACCATGCAGCCAATCTGTGGCAGAAAGCTGGTGATTTGTTCCCATAAAGATTAAGATCTTAGAAAACCTTAGAAAGCCTTAGAAAACCCTGTGGGGCAGATCTACTCTTGTTGTTGTTATGTGCCATCAAGTCGCCTGCGACTCATAGCGACCTAAACCCTGATCTATCCTGTGCCAATTGCACTGTCTCTGGCATATCTACCCCAATTACTGCAGTCACTGCATCAATCCACCTCATAGAGGGTCTTCCCCTCCTGTGCTGTCCTTCCATCCTCTTAAGCATGACATCCCTCTCCAAGGACCAGTCCCTCCTTGCAACATGTCCAGAGTATTTCAGATGAAGCTTCAGAATCCTTGCCACCAAAGAGCATCCTGGTTTAACCCTCTCTTGGATGAACCTGTTTGTTTTCCTAGCAGTCCATGGTACATTCAATACTCTTCTCCAACACCACAGCTCAAAGGCATCAATTCTCCTTCTATCATTCCTAGTCATTGTCCAGCTTTCTGACGCATAACAAGTGATCGCAAAGACCTGGATCAGGTGCACCTTAGTCTCCAGACTGACATCATTGCTCTTCAGTACTTTTAGTAGACCATTTTAACTCAGTACCTTAATTTTGTGTTGCATGCTTGTGATAATGTGTTGTATGCTTGAATGGATTCACAGCTATCATTTCTTAAGTGCTTACTGTGTGCGGATTTGCTTTGTGCTGAGCCAGTTCTGGCTACTAGTGATCCTATTAGCAAGGTCTGGTGGCTTAGAGGTAAAGAGTTGCACTGGAAAATCATAAGTGCATGGTTCAAATCGACGAGCTGCTTCTCAGGAGAAAGATGAGAGGTCTCCTCCTGTGCTATTTACTGCCTCTGCCAACCTGCTAGAAGGTCAGTTATGAGACGGTTCTGACTACATGGTACAGAGCAGCAAGTGACTCTATATAACAAAGTAGAACTGTCTTGCGAGGCTGCAATCTTTCTGGGAGCAGATAAGATTTTCTTTACTCCTGCAGAGCCACTGCGTGGATACAAACTGCCAACCCATTAGGGTTCCTTGTTTACTATGTACTAAGCTTTGGTAGTCTAGTGGTAAGAAGTTGTGCTGTAATCCCTAAGGTATGTAGTTCGAATCCACCAGCTGCTCCTTGGTAGAAGGATGGGCAGCCTCCTCCCGTGCAATTTACTGCCTCTGAAAACCCACTGGAGCGTCAGCTATGGTTCCGACTTGATGGTACTCAACAACAGCAAGTACCCTGGTCCTATAAAATAGGTACTGTTACCACTCAGTTTTCTATATCACCTTTCTCCATCTTAAGAAGATATGTCTTGGAGAGGGTGCAGCTGGAGCACTCTTTGAAGGCAAGAATGATGAGGCTTCACCTCACATCCTTTGAGCATGTTGCTAGGAGGGGCTATTCCTTAGAGAGGGACATGATGCTGGGAAGGGTGGAGGTTTGGCAAAGGAGAGGAAGACCCTCAACCAGGTGGGTTAACACAGTGACTTCTGCAATGGATTCTTGTGTGTCAGGAAGTGTGAGGATGGCGCAGGACAGGACTAGATTCAGATCTTTTGTTCGTGGGGTCGCTGTGAGTTGTACTTGACTCGATGGCACCTAACAACAACCAGCATCTTAAGAAGAGTGAGATTATGGCT